ATCTCCAACATCATTATCATCACCACCAACACCCTAACCATAATTACCACCATCATTATCACTATAACCACCATCACCTTCATAACCATAAATCACCATCACCTTCATCACTATCATTATCACTATAACCACCATCACCATAAATCCTCATCATCACCGTAAATCCCCATCATTATCACTATAACGATCATCACCTTCACCACCATCATCATCAAACGTTGCACTTATATCTCCCAAAGTCATCACCATCATTACCACCAACAAACACCATCATCTTTACCTCTTTCATCACTTCCTCCACCCTCTGCATTCTCCTGTGTGTGGGGATGTCCTTGTCCATTCGGAGGTTGGCCTGCGAATGAGGAAGAACAAAGAGAGAGAGAGATAATTGGTGGAGATCGAGAGAAATGGCCGAGTGAGTGACCTGAGTGTGTAATCACGTGTGTGTGTGTGTGTGTGTGTGTGTGTGTGTGTGTGTGTGTGTGTGTGTGTGTGTGTGTGTGTGTGTGTGTGTGTGTATGTGTGCGTTGTGTGTGTTTTTGCGTGGTTTAAGTGTGAATGAATGTAAGTTTGCGTTTGTATGTGTGTGTGCATCTGCAAGTATGAATTAATAAATGTATATGTGCACATGTGTACGCATGTGTGAATAGATAGGTACAGGTGCATATTGTGCATGCAGTCTGTATGTATGTATGTACGTGTGTAGTTATGCATTTACGTGTACCGATATGCATGTATGTATGTATCTGTATATGCATGCATGCATGTATACTATAATCTTGTTTTACTTCATTTGTTACAATGGTTATGTTATGTTTATTTTTGCGTCTAAATTTCCCCTTGTGTGCGAGGAATGGCCGGAGTTACCATCCACTGGCGGCGAGGGATTCGAACGCAGGTCAGCAAGATTGCTAGACGAGATCGCTACCGCTGCACCACACAGCACACATAATATATGTATGTATGTATGTATGTATGTATGTATGTATGTATGTATGTATGTATGTATGTATGTATGTATGTATGTATGTATGTATGTACGTACGTATGCACGCATGTAAGAATGTATGTTTACACCCTCCCCTACCTGGAAAACCAGCTGCTCCTTCACCGTCATCGTCCCAATGAACAAATCGTCCTGCTGAACGTAGGCTGAACGGCTCGTCAGCAGCGTGGGGGTCACCTTCCTGCCGTTCACGTAGAGGGAACCTGGGGGGGGGGGGGGGGAGAAGAGGGGAGAAGGGGAGGGTTAAAGAGGAGCGTTCGGGGAAGGGGGGGGGGGAATGGGAGGATGGGGAAGGGGGGGAGGGAAAGGGGGTAAAGGAAGGGGGGAAAGAGGGGGAGGGAGGGGGAAAGGAGGGAAGGAGGGAGGGTGAGGGGGGGAGAGAAGGGGGAGACAGAACACAATACAAACAAACCAGACAAAAACAAAAACAAGAAAATCCACAATGTTGACCTCGATTGACCTGAACTTTGACCAATAATAAAAAAAATAGACAACCAAAAAAAAAAAAAATCTTTGACTTCGATTAACTCTTGATCAATAATAAGAAACAGAGAGAAAAAAACACATCTTTGACCTTGATTGATCTTGACATTTGATCAATAAAAGAACACAGAATATCAAAAAAAAAAAAAAAAATCTTTGACCCCGCTTGACCTAACCTTTGATCTTGAGGACGGCATCGCTCCTGAAGGTGAGGGCGTTGAGCAGCGTGGTCTTCCCCGCCCCCGACGCGCCCATGATGGCCAGCAGCTCTCCGGGGCGACAGATGCCCGTCACTGGGGGTAGGGGGTGGGGGTGAGGGGTTGAAAGATGGGGGGGGGCTTGAGGAAGTTAATGAGGATAATGTGATTGTTTTCACTATCCTTTTTTGTTATTAAGGTAGTTATTATTCTTATCATCATCATCATTAATGTTATTATTACTATTATCACTATCATACTTATCATTAACATTACTGTCATCATTATCATTATCATTATCATTACTCTGACTGTTGTTATTATAATTATTATTATTATAATTGTTTTAATCAAATTCATTATCCTAATAAATATTGTTACCTACTGTTATCATACATATATATATATATATATATGTATATACATATATCTATATCTATATCTATATCTGTCTATGTATCTATCTATCTATCTATCTATCTATCTATCTATCTATCTATCTATCTATCTATCTATATATATATATATATATATATATATATATATATATATATATATATATGTGTGTGTGTGTGTGTGTGTGTGTGTGTGTGTGTACGAAAACATGGCTACCAAAACCCAAACAAGCTTCACAGGTTAAAAATCCCTCCCTTCCTTTATCTCTTATCAGCGTTCACTCCGCCTCACTGCCCGCTGGAAAACGTTGGGCCGATAACATGATAAAGAAGGAATTGATTTTACAGTATGAGAGATTTATCGGGAAAGGGAGACAGAAAGGAGTTTAATGGTTCACCTGCCTATCTGTCTACCTGCTTATCTGTCTGTTTGTCTCTCTACCAACATATATCTCTATTTATTTATGTCGCAATCTGTCGGTTAGTTAATTGATTTATTTATATGTACATCGGCCTTTCTCCCTCTCTCTCTCTCTCTCTCTCTCTCTCTCTCTCTCTCTCTCTCTCTCTCTCTCTCTCTCTCTCTCTCTCTCTCTCTCTCTCTCTCTCTCTCTCTCTCTCTTTCTCGCTCGCTCGCTCGCTCTCCCTCTGTCTATACATACGTCCACACACGTTCGTTTTATATATATATATATATATATATATATATATATATATATATATATATATATATATATATATATATATATATATATATATATATATATATATATTTATATATATATATATATATATATATATATATATATATATATATATATATATATATATATATATATATATATATATATATGTATATATATATATATCCTCCTCCTTCGCCCCGCTCACCATCCTTCAGAATGTGCTTCTCCGTCACCGTCTTCTTCCTCCCGCAGCCCTGGGTCACGCTGGCGAAGATGTTCAGCTTCTCCCACGAGTAAGTGAGGCGCTCCGACGCCGTCTCGAGGGGGATGACCACGTCTCCCGGCTGGAGAGACAGAGGCAGGGAGGATGGTGAGGGAGATGATGGTGACGATGATGATGGTGATGATGAGGGTGGCGGTGGTGATGATGATGATAGTAGTAGTCATGGTGATAGAAATAGCGATAATAATAATGATTGATAATAGCAATAATAGTAATGATAATGATAATAATGATAATGATGATAATAATAATAATTACAATAATAATTGTAATGTTGATAATGCTAATTACTATGAAAGTAGTAGTAGAAAAAATAATGATAAAGATAATAATGGTGATAATCATGATAACAACAACACTTATTATAAGAACAATAATGATGTTAAATCGAATAGTAATAGTAATAATAATGGTAATGATAATAATGATAATACTACTACTACTACTAATGACAATAATGATAATGATAACAATAATAATAATTATAATAATATTCATAATAGTAATAATAATAGTAATGATAATACTAATAATATCAATGATAATGATAAAATAATGATAATAATAACAATAATTATTATGATAATAATGATATATAATTTTAACAATGATAACGATATTAATATATATGAATATCATAATGATATCAATGATATGGTAACCATAATAACAGTGAAATATCAGCAATGATAATAATATTATTAATATTATTATTACTGTAGCCAGAAAAAGAATGTTTTTTTTTTCTGCATTACTATTCGCTACCTTATTTCTTGTTATATTTGTTATCGTTATCAAGATTATTATCGTATTTTCTATAGATATTGTTATTATTCTATTGTTACAATTGTTATTAATTTGTTATTACCGTTCATTGCTATTAACACCGTCATGATATTATACAATGCAACACTAACTAATGATATAATATACTCTTATCTTCATCGTTTTTGTCAGTATAAAGCTACGTTCTCATAGCGAAAATACACATGTTAATATAGAAGAGAATAGAAGTTTCATTATGATGCAAGTTTAAAAATGCATTGATATGTTGAATATACGAATACACGCTCGTGAATAATTAAGCGTTTATATACATGAAACGCGAAGCCCATTTTATAGATTAAAAAAGAATTCCCTTGTCGTGTTTATGCTGATGTGAATTATAGATGTCGAAATGAGCGTGGAATAAATCATTAAACACTACTAACAGCAAAGTCACAAATGCAGGCTAGTGTAACGATTATGTTATGTACAACAAGTATATGTGTGATGTAATATAATCTATATTCGTATAGTGTATGATGAATGTTATAGTGTTACTGGTAATAATAGTAACAATTAAAATAATGATGATAGTGATGATCATACAAATGATAATAATAATAATAGTAATAATAATAATAACAACAATAACAACAACAACACCAAGAATAATAATAATAATAATAGTAATAATAATAATAACAACAATAACAATAACAACACCAATGATAATAGTAATAATAATAATGATAATAATAATAATAATAATAATAATAATAATAATAATAATAACTATAATGATAATGATGATAATGGTAACAATAAGGATGATAATCATAAAAATGATGAGAATAAAGATATTTACGATATCAACAATGATAATGATATTAGTATTAGTAGCAATAGTAGTTCTATTTGAAGTAATAATAATGATAATAATGATGATGATGAAGATGATGATGATGATGATGATGATGATGATGATGATGATGATGATGATGATGATAATAATAATAATAATAATAATAATAATAATAATAATAATAATAATAATAACTATAACAATATAATCATGATAATAAATAATGATAATCTTCATGATAATAATAATGATGATAATGATGATAATAATGATAACAACAATATATAATAATAATAATAATAATAATAATAATAATAATAATA